GTCTTTGATGCACAGGCAAGCAGTCCTTTATACGTTTCAAGGTTCCAATACGTTTGGCTAGTTTTTTACAAATAGCATGGACATGTTCATTAACTGTCAGTTCTTCGTCCATGTGTAACCCAAGCAGTTTCGCGCTTGAAACTTGTTCATATTGCAAGTCCAATTCTTTTGTCTCCATTTTTGCAGATAGACGTTTTCCTGTAATTAACATAGCTTTTATCTTTTTTTTTATTCAAAGTCATCTTGTTGGCATCTGATAAAATTGACACCTTGCAATTTGGTTCGTAAGAGGGTCCAAGCACTAACATGGCACTTCTATCTGGTGCACAAGTGGTATGAATCGGTTGACAAATCGGGTAATGTTATACGAATCTGCCTACTCGACTTTTCCAAAGCCTTCGACCGATTAGATCATAATACTCTGTTGAATAAATTGAAAGACATGGTTGAAAGACATGGAGGTTCATCCTGTATTGCTCAACTGGATTGCGAATTTCCTAATAGACAGACAACAGAAAACTCGTGTTGATCACTTCTTTTCCGAGTGGAAGTATATAAACGCACAGGAAAATAAACTTGGCCCACTCTTATTCCTGATCATGATGACCTCGCAGTGTCTGATGAAACAATTAAAACTGTGGACATCCTATTCATTGGGAAATAATCTCAAAAATTTCCTCCTCCCATTTACCGGTTGTTTCTAGTCAACAACTTGAAATTAAATGTATCAAAGACCAAAGAATTGCGTGTCTGCTTGTCGAATCTCACCCCATCTTATGCTCCCATTACTATCCATGGTCAAGAGGTTAGACGTTTCTGAAGCAAAATTGTTGGGCGTTGTGGTTTCAGACGATCTCAAATGGAATCGCCACATTGATTACATTTGTAAGAAAGCTGCGAAACGTTTGTATGGTTTGCACCTTCTCAAGAGAAAAGCTTTATCTGCTTTATCTATGACGATGTTTGTCGAATGCAAAATTAACGACTCTTTACGAACGTAGAACTGTACTTTGCAATCTTTACCCACTCAAAAACTGAATGCCTTAGTCCTCCCCCCACCAAAAAAACAACCCAACAAAAACTCCTGCTAGTGGCCAGAGGTAGAAATGAACGTTTTTCAAACAGTCTCGTCCCTGCAGCTGCTCGTGTTCATAATAACAATTAAACCCTCAGTTGTTACATTACTTTTTTATCTAATTACATACTGTTGTAGTATATTTTTACTTGCAAATATAGCATATACCAAATATTTCATTCTCACACTATGTACTTCCAAAGCAATTCAGTTGTTATTGCAATTTTGGAAATGAATGATTAAATCTTATAAATCTCAAAAATTATGACACTGTTGCATCTATCTACACTTACAAACAGATTTCCGTTAGCTGCAGACCTGGTAAACGTTTGTATTTAGGTGACTGTGGCTTCCAATCCCAACTGCGGTTGAGGAGTTTTTTCCTAGCTTACAATATACATCTTGTACAGCAATAAACATGTCGCAAAAAGGTTTAAACACTTTAATGCCCCATGGAATGTTCCTTTTTGCCCACCCTTGAGAATATCGTTGTAAGAAAATTGCTTCCGACAAAGTACAAATGTTCCAAAAAACATACAAAACACGTTTGGTTCCCAAGGGTAATACAATGGTTTGCCTACCATCGGGGAATAACGACAAAGAAACGCGTGCTTGCGCAACAATGTGTCCCATTTTGCACACGGCTTTAATTTGTCGATGCTGCTAAGTGAACACAATGAAGTGAACACAAAGAAAATGTAAACAAGACAACAAGAATAACGCCACAACGTACCTTATAATTCTTGTGCTGCACTTCAGTCTTGCAATGTTGGCAGGTGGTTGTTCTTTTTGAGCATTCTTTCTTCAAATGATGCTCCAAAACTTTTCTCTCCACATTTTGGTTGCAGCCTTTTGGACATGGAACTTCAACAAACTCACACGTTTTCAAATGTTCCTGGAAAGAATGACAACGATAGTAACATCATGGATTGTAAAATAACTGGATAGGAAACTTCCTGACGTCACAGTCTAAACCTAGTTGCAATCTGTGACGTCATGTGTATTGCGAAAATTTTCAGCATTTTTGTTGTTTCGCTATATTTTCCGCTTCAAAAGAGTAATATTGAAGCATAAACTGGTCTAATTGTTTTAAAAACATGCCTAAGCCACGACAAAGTATTCAAGGTAAATGTTTTTCATCTTTGTTTTGTATTTTTTTACATTTGTAGCTACGAAATTGGCGTCGCCAATTTTTACGAAATTTGCGATGCATTTTTCACTGTTTAGTGCTTGAAATATTTGCTAAAATTGACCGGGAATACTTAGATATTTCATCGTAGAATGGCTTAGTCATATTTATTTGCTCTTTGACTAAAATGTTTAGCTGTATTATCGCTAAACATGCCGTTTTTGAGAATTTGGTTTGCAACTAGGTTGCAACGCCATCATCCCAATTGAAAACATTAGGTCACGTCAGCTAGTTTCCTATCCATGTATTTTATTATCCATGGTAACATCTATGTCTCTGATCTGGGTAATTTCATCTGTACATACGAAAACGACACACAAAAACATATAATACATATAGAGGCAGTTGCGGATTGAGAGAGATACAACCAGAAAAAATATATTAAGTAAAATTTGGACGTTTTGAGGGAAGACCCTTCGTGACGGCGAAAGTACAGTATCTTCCCTTGCCTGAGGAAAAATCCTAGCAACAATCGGAAAATACCGATTATTCATGTCACAATCTACATTTATAGTGACGTCATAATATCAGTCGACCGAGTAAAGGTGACGTCATTCATGTCGATTTTTAACGATAATTTCCAACGTAACATGTTACTGCAACCAAAGATCGTTAAAACCGTTAATAAATGGCACGCTCCACGCATTAACTTAACATATTGCGTTAGAACACAACGTGTATCAATGTGCAATGCATATAATTTTTAAAGTCCGTATTTTCCCAACTATCGGTTTTAGACAATCGGAAATATAAATAATTCTACCGATTCCGGTTTTGTATCGATGAGGCAAAATCGGCCCGAGGCCGATACCGATTATCGGTCAATCACTACCAGCAGCCAATCAAATTGCGCGATTGCCCAAAGCAAATGCTTGCTATATAATAAAACAGGTTTTTAAATTATCGTTTTTAAATTATCAAAAACTAACGAAGAAAAACTAACGTCTGCTGACCGCAGCTGCACCAGGGTGTTAGCCAGGCGGCCGTCCGACCGTCCTGCGGACGGCCACTTCTGAATTCGGACGGCTAAATTTTAATGGACGGCCTAAGGGAATATTTTCTTTAAATAGCAAACTACAAGCTTTGTAATATGTCTTGAATACTTCGAACTGTTGTCATGTGCTGTTTACTTTACTTATGGTATATGTTTTCATACTTTTCCCGTCGAAAACACGTTGAATATGGCTGAATTGAAGTATCGACAAACGCGCCATGTTTTTGTAACCATGTTGATGATACTCGCATGAAGTATCAAGGCGAATAATTTGAAACCGCTGTTTTAAAAAACAGCAGTCGCTTTATCGCTCGAGCGCCACGTGCTGTAGAGTTACAGTTTAATACGGTAAAGATGGCTATAAAATGAGCCTAACACATAAAAGGGGGGGGGATATCGGCGATTGATACAAAAGTAACTACACACTATACTGCTGTATTGTGTTCTTCATTATAGCATATACTGTACATCGTAGTGATCATACGGTTCATACCACATGTTGCTTTTACTAATTTAATGACGGAAATGTGCGTCTAAAACTAAAAGTTAAACTTAAGGTTCAACGAATAGAATACCACAATTCCACAACAACAAAAAATTGCGGCCACGCCCAAAAACATGTGATCACGCCCACAAAAATTTGTGGCCACGTCCACAAAATTATTTTGGACGGCCACTTTTGAAATCCTGGCTAACACCCTGAGCTGCACATTCCATTCCCTTTGTTTTAAGAGCCAATCATCTGGCAGTGTTCAAAAGAGTTATAGACAATTGACATGACTTAGACGAAAAGGGCCCACGGTAATTGGCAACTGCTGTTGTGGTGACCCTGCCATTTTACTTACTAGGGTAATTTAGTAGTTTTTTGTATATGTAAAGTACGTCTTTTTCAGTGGCAAATTTAATAAAATCGTGAATAGTCACTGAAGCATTTTTTTATCCTGTGTAAATATTTTTTTTTAATAATAATAATAATAATAATAATAATCAAAATCAAAACTTCTAAAAGATTAAGCTTTTGTTGTCATGTAGAAAAGTATAGCCAAATTAGAGTATAAACGTTTCGAAGTTTGGGCGAATTGGAAAATTCATGTCGGCGCAATTACAAGCTTCTCGCGTAACGTAAAACCTATATAAAAGCTATTTCACTAAAATTCACAAGGATTAACTTAGATTTTGATAACATTTAATTTTCCGTGCGATATTGACGGAAATACATGTGTTTGAAGTTGCGAGGAGTTTTAGAAATTGGCGAAAAAACGACAAAAATCGCCACATCAAATTAAATTGGAAGCAGTTGTCACTTTACATGCATGAAATCTTTTTAACTTCAGTGATTTTATCTTTAATTTTAAGTTATTGCCTAACAAATTTACTTTTTAAAAATAAAAATTGCACTGAAAGATTCATGATTCTTAGGAATAAAACAAAATAATAATTCACGTTAAAAGAAAGTTCCATTTGACGTCCCTTGGGATTCAAATTCGCAATGAAATAAACATTGTCGCTGATTACATTTTCATTCTTAAAGATGCCTCGGTTAACAAAAGATCAAAGAGTTTGGATTTGTATCGAATACCCTAGAACAAATAACGTTCGTGATTCGTGAAGTAATAAGGCGGTGGCCGGTAAGATAGCTATCTAAAGCAAACAATTTGGAACGTCCAAGCTTGATCAGCAGCCAAGGAATCTTAGACAATTGCGTGAGGTAATCGTTTCGGCTTGCGAATCTTTGGATCAAGAAATGATCCAAAACGCTTTTGATGGCATGATTTCTAGAGCACAACGGTGCACTCAGGCTCAAGAGCACGCTTTTCATGATGAGTAAACTCATAATAGTTAATCCTTTTCTACATAAATGCATTCTTTTAGCTAGAATAAAAATAATCGACAAAATAAACTAAATTGGAATTTGATATCATGTTTCATGCTAATTTTTGGCTTTTTGAAAAATGGTAGTTCAATTTTGAAACGTCAATAGCTCTGTCAATATCGCGCTGATAATTAAATGTTATATATCAAAATCTAAGTTAATCCTTTGTGAATACAATACTTTTTATTTTAGTGAAATAGGTTTTACGTCACATGAAATCAAACAGGGTATAGTTTTTTGGGGGACACCCGGTATATATTCGGCAATGTCATCCTGTCCGCGTTTTAAACATAACCGAACATCTTCAATATCCGAATCTGATCATTAATGGTGCATTTTATTACATGGACAAGTATCAATTTATGTGCAATTTTGACCAAAATTCAACCGACGACTGCTTTCAAAATATTTATTTACATTGATTCCGCTCCTAAATCAACTGAAGTCACTTTCCAGAATTTGGAAGGTAAATTCTGACTGGCTGACGTAGAAGAATTCATTCTGGCGCTCGGGTCAGCAGACGCTAGTTTTTCGTCGCTTGGCGTAAGAAATACAACGTCTGCGAGCAGGCTATCACTTAACTGATTGACCGAATATGATCACGTGCACGTCATTTTGATATTTAGGCCGTTAGCTGTGGCATGAAAACGTTCAGTTCCGTCGCCCCCATCGCGGTGCTAAAATATTTTAACGTGAATTAGGAGAATAAACTATGCTGATTTTAAATATCTTTGTTCCCACGCGCAGAAACGCGCGGTTTTTTTCACAATGTAAGGCCAAAGTTTGATATTTTCATCCGCTAAGCGCCATCTTGAATTCCGCGGTATCTTTGATCTTTTGGCATAATTACTTGAAGTATTCTATGAAACGCGGGCTCATAAACAACTCAAATCATAAATATGGATGAAGAATCTAGCATAACGCTTTCTGCGCGGCAATGTTTTAGACATTTTAGAGGTAAATCTGGCGAATTGTGTCATTTAGCACCTCATACAAGTTAATACAACTGCTAAAATCTTAAGATATTATGAAAAGTGGGTTAATTTGGACGAAAAAGCGACTCAAGTCGCGACAAATGTTTCGTAGCGTGTCAAACATTGGTCATTTATATTTTATAGACTAAAGGATCGTTCATTATTAATACAGGGGGCCGGTATGAAATGTGGTGGTACCGGGGAGACATTTCTTACCAAATATTTTAGGAGGGATGTAAGAATTTTTGAGTGATGGAGGAGAGGTTGCATATATTTTACTGAATTATTTGGTATCATGTGACATACGAAAAACAGCTGTAATTAAAATAGTTTTCATTTACACATGAGGTGCAATGGTCTCCCCCTCACAAGTAAAATCACCTGGAGTTGATTATAGACCAAGTAAAATAAACAAAGTAGGAGCATTGCTACAAGAGTGTCAAGAATGACTTGATAAGAATATACAAAAGTAAATGAATCCAGGAATTTGAATACCTATCTATTGAATAGCTATTTCACTTATGATTTGAATGAACATATTCAATAATGATTTAAATGAACATATTCAATCTAATGTTGACACATATCTTTGTAAACTTTGTTGCTTGCCTTCGTTCGTGTTAGGGAGATGGGCTGCTCGGTGAAGGAGTGTTCGTGCTGTGCTGATCTTGTGTTGTTTGTCATGATGTGAGTTGTAGTCTAGGTATCTGTCAGTGTGTGTAGGTTTACGGTAGACGTTAACGTTGAGACACCTGTTGTTACGGGTTACCATTGTGTTCAGTAGATAAAGTTCTTTCTCACAAATAGGAAGCAATGAGTTAGGATTGGAGAATCATACTCTTCTTGGAAAACAGTGAACGGAGGCTTGTCGCAAGGGACCAGGCTAGTTGGGCCGACTTTGTTTGCAATTTTAATCAACCCTCCACTAAAAAGCTGATGAAGCAGAATTAAATTTGTAAATGATACAACCAGAAATAATTCCTCGCTGCTAGCCAAGTATATTCACCAATCGTTGTGGATGAAATTAGTGAATTTTCTTCTGCAAGGGCATAGAGCTTAATCCAAAAAAAGTGTAAGGAAATGTTAATAAATTATCGTTCTTGGAATATTCTACCTCTATTATACATCCGATTTACGTGGCCGGCCTTCCGGTTGAATCCATTCCTTCCTTCAAATTGCTTGGCTTTACTTTGTCTCGTGGCCTTCCATGGAGTCCTCATGTGGATTTTATTATGAAGAAAGCAAGCTAGATTATATACGACAATTAAAGAGAGCCGGTATTGGACAGCACGATTTGGTTTCTATTTACTGTTCAATCATACGATCTAGTCGATTTCGTGTTGAATATGCTGCTCAAGCATGGTCTATTCTCGCTGCTGGTTTGTCAAATTTAATCAAATCAATACAAAGACGGGCACTGAAGATTGTTTACCCTTCCCTTTCCTTTCCTTTAGCCTGCTCTGGCCCAGAGACTTTAGAAGCACGGAGAATGAAGCTTAGTAAACATTTATTCACCAGTTGAAGTTATCTTAGGACTCTGGTTGTAATACACTGTCTCAAATAGTATGTACCCGTACGTTAGACTTGATTATAAACTTGGATTATTGCCATGTTTATAAACTATCTAGTATGGTTTTACTCCATATCATGAAAACGCCATTCCCCAAACGGCAATATTTCATTCATTTTGAAGGTAAATCTGGCGATTTGTGTAAGTTAGCACCTCATACAATTGCTAAAATTAGTGAATATTGAAAAAAGTGGATTGATTTGAATGGCGAACAAAGCACGATCGGAGCAAATGTTGCCAAACGTATAAAACGTTGGTCATTCGTTCGGAATGTAAGTATTGTAATAAAGAGCTCGGATACGGACTTCGTATTATTATCCTATTATTGCCATATTCTCCAATGCAAACTATTTTTTGAGACTGGTGCGAATGAGAAAACTCGTATCATAGATGTGAGATGTGTTAAGAGCAGATTGGTGAGAAACAAGGCAAAGCATTAATTGAATTTCACGTATATACCGGTAAGCAATAACTAGCTACATTATATTAATAATTAGGATGCCATTTCGTTAATGATTTAGCTAAAAGTGAGGTAGATGTATAGTAGCCACATGTAGTTTGTAAGAATACAACAGCCTGTACATAACTAGATCGTTTTTAGGGTTGATTGTACGAGCTCGTTTTATGATTGAAGTAAGATATCAACCTGAAAATTTGCTTTAAATGACGAAACATCTCATTTATGCGTCTCGGTAAGGATTTTGACGTTGGTAAATCCATTCAGAAAAACCTTGAGTCACTTACATGAACGCTATATGGGGCTAAGGATTCTAATGCAGCATTGCCTCCAAATCAGTGAGGATTGTCTCTTACAACACATCCAGCGAGAGCATTACCAGGCAGTAATATGGAAAAGAGAAACAACTCCAATAATTGATGCGCCTTCACCAACTGATCATGGATGGAAGATTAATGAAGAAGGAAATATTGATGTGGTATGGATGACAAAGAAATGTGCTCCTGATGTGCTACTCAAAGATTGCAACTGTAAATGTAAAACAACTAGGCTGTTCAACCTTAAGATACTCTTGTAAAAGGCAAACAACCAGTGTGATAAAATGTGCCAATGTGTTGGATGCACAAATTTTCCACACGAGTCCAGCGAAAGCGGTAGCCTTGAAGATGATTCAGAAGATGATCTGTGTAGTGATATGGAGAAAGAAAACTTGTAGAATTGCAGGGATGGATTTACTGGGAAAGTGTGTGCATCACCCATAGCCCTGGCCAGAGGGAGTGCAGGGGGGTGGGGTGGTATTTTTCATGATACAGCTAGGGATGCACGGGAACCGGTTTTTTAAGTTCCGGCCGGAACCGGATCCGACCGGAACTGGAAAAAAGTTCCGGCCGGAACCGGAACTAATTTATTAAGCCATATATAGTCATATGTTACTTTGTCCGCTGCCAGACAAGCAGACACTTCAAATCATCAAGTAGAGAGTTCGCAAATGTCAGAATAAAAAGACTGACAAACGTTAAACGTCATAATGAAGTGTTAATAGTGAACATTTCCCTTGCGTAGTGCAACTTTCTTCCTACTGCGACCTTTTGTTAGACACAAAAACGTTTGATATTCTATCTCTCTGAAAACGACAGAGTTCCGGTTCCGGCCATGCTTTTTTTACTAGGAACTCTAAAAAATCGGGGTTCCGGCCGGAACTAACCGGCCGGAACCGAGTTCCGGTGCACCCCTAGATAAAGCAAAATATTATTAGAGATAAAATGAGATACAGTAATTTGAGTAATAACATGATGATAAGCAACTGTGAACAACAATTATTACAATTCAAATACAATAGTGAAGCAAGACTTTGCAGTAGTGAAGCAAGTTGATGGGCGGGCGACACACATGACCAACACAACTCGGCACTAGAGCTGGCAGAGCATCCCCCCCCCCTACCAAATCATGCTGGATCCATCCCTGTAGAATTGTATAGCACAATACTGATGGCTGATGCAACACCGCTGATGAAATTTGTGCTATCCTATTGTAGAAATGCAAAACTTATTTAATCGAATAGTATTTATTATATTTCATTGTATTGATATCTTCGAGTAAATACTTTTTAGTTCATTTTGTTATTAATTTAAGTATTTTTTGTCGAATATCAAGTTCTAAACAATTAACTATGACCGCTAATGTACCAGCTGTATACTTATAGCAAATTTAGGTATAAGGTATTTAATAATGTACAATATTAAAGTAAAGTATTTGACCAATGTTTAAATGTTTGATACGTTGTGCAACAATTTGTCGCGATGGTCGCGATTTGAGTCTGCTTCTCGTTCAAATTAACCCATACCTTTCACAATATTTTTAGATTTTTGCAGTTGTATTAACTTGTGTGAGATGTTAAGTGACACAATTCACCAGATTTACCTTCAAAATGTATAAAAATTCCGAAGCAAAGACAGTTTTGCTAGCCATATATATATGAAATTGAGTTGTTTATGAGCCCGCGTTTCATAGCATACTTCAAGTAATTATGCCAAAAGATCAAAGATACCGCGGAATTCAAGATGGCGCTCAGCGGATAAAAATATCAAACTTTAGCCTTAAATTGTGAAAAAACAGCGGGTTTTGGCGCGTGGGAACAAAGATATTTAAAATCAGCGTAGTTTATTCTGCTAATTCCTGTTAAAATATTTTAGCACCGCGATGGGGGCGACGGAATTTGATTTCTAGCCACATTTTGGCCACACAGCCAACGGCCTACTTTGAAAATACACAACTGCACTGATCTCAAATTAGTTGGCATGCAACACTGGAATTTTAATCCCTCGCCCTTCGGGCTCGGGCCGTTTTCAAAACCTCGGACACAGTTTTTCTCATCCGGACCTCCAAGCCGGCAAATAATATATATATATATATATATATATATATATATATATATATATATATATATATATATATATATATATATATATATATATATATATATATATATTGATATCGATATTTTTTGTTGTTTTTCGATATTATTTTTTTCTCAAGGTCTTGCTTACTTTATTTCCTTCCACTCGTACGTGAGCTCACTACGTGATCATAATGATCAAAGGTAGTGTCCAGGTGAAATATATATTTATATATATATATATATATATATATATATATATATATATATATATATATATATATATATATATATATATATATATATATATATATAGAGTGTGT